AAAAAAAAGAATGTGTGTATGTGTACACTGTTATGTCTAATTTGGGTAGTTCAAACATTTCAAATAAATAATAAAGCAATATTAAAGTTCTCACCTGAAAAATTACAAAGCTTCTTGCTTTCCCCTTTTGACTATGATAAAACTAAAAAGAGAATTTGGTTCAATTCCATCCAACAGGATCATTTGTGTATCTATTGTGAACTGATTAAGGATTTTAAGTAGCAGAAAAAGCATCTTAACCAGCTTCAGCTTCAAAGGAAGAATTTACAATAAAATGAGCGAGCAAAAAGTTGTGTCTAAAGAGCAGAATAATGAGGACTAGACAGTTACTAGAAATCTCCACTTGGCTGCCAGATTCTTTTCTCTTTATTCTGAAGGACATTTTCTATTTCCTTAGACTATGAGCAGACATTTATATGAAATAAAACTGTATAAAGAAGCAAACTTATATCTGAACTGTAATTCCAGATTTCTAGGAGAGGGAAACATATTTATCTGGCTTAAGTCAAGTTTTTATTGCTAGTCTTACTGGCTATAGCCCATGTGGCAAGATCACAAATACAACTATAGTTAAAGGTAAAACATCCCTATAGATGGGGTGATGGTCTCTAGAGACAGGGATTGTCAAGAGGTGAGCCTCTAAAACTCTTTTATAGAAAGGAATAAGCATTATGGGAACAAAAGAGATATTTATAATCCCTATCACAATCTCATAAACCTATTTATAGATATGAAGGAGAAAAATGCAATACAATGATTACATACTAAAGTGTTGTTTTGTGGAAACATGATGAAACTTAAAATAGAAGACGTGGGTTCAAATCTTGGTCCTGGCTCCTAATCCTTATGGAGTTTTGATGAGATGGTCACAGATCCTCCATTTGTGGATCCTCCACAAATATGGATCCTCTATTTTATTTGTAAAATGTGGCTTATTATATTGTACTTAAATGCATTTTGTGATAACTAAATGCAGCATCTATCAGATGCATCATACATGGCAATATCTAGGCTAGAACAGTTTGGTTCACTCAGCATGTGTTATTTATGCAAACTTGGCAAACCATTGGACTATATATTAGAAATAGAATTAAGATATAAGTGTCAGTTGACCTTAAGTAAATCAGTCTGTTGGAGGTGGGAGACAAATGGGCAGATAACTTAAATAAAATGTTGTACATTTGTTGACTCTAATTCTAGATGCAATTTGAATTGACCTAGGAAGGTTTTAGGGAGGTGTTAGGACATGAGCAAGAATTTGCCATACCTAAATGGGGTAAATCCTGGAGTTGAGCTGCCCTAAATCTTCAAGGTTGATGGTTCACATTTTCTCTGTGGCAAGGAAGCTAAGTTGGTAATTTAAAAGACCTTTTCCAAACACTGCTGGTCTTGAACAAAGGGGCAAGGGAAATATCAGTATAGTTTTTAAGGTTTTTATATGGTAAATAAAGCTTGGGTTATTTACCTGTAGGTAATTGAGAACATATTTTCTATGCTTAGGAAAATGAAATAGTTAAGAAAAGAAACATATATTTGATTTATTGGTAGAAGTTCAGAAATTTAATGACACAAGCTAACACTACATACATTTCTAAACTACCTTTGCTAGATTTATCTGGAAAAAAAGAAAATGTCTGAAGAAAGAAATGGGGGGGGGAGAGAGAAAGCGAGAGAGAAATACCAGCATTTGACTATTTTTAAGTTGCTACTTTGATACATTAGTTAAAGCCTGCCAGAATGATTTATCATCTCAGAACAATTTGTTCACTTAGAAATTACAAATGTGTTTTCACCAATAAATCTAAATTTATTTTGTAGTAGTCATTTTTCTTAATGGAGGTTTTTTTTCCAGATGTTGCCTAAGTCTAGTCGTCTGGGCCCTCTTCCAACAAATGAGGAAAGTTTGATTTCATAGGTTGTCACTGTTGATTTTGTCTAACCTTTGGACTAATTGGTTCATCCCAATGTATTTGCCCTGATATATAAGACTTCCAGGACATTGGAGAAATTCATCTATTCTTTTATGGGTAAGTGTCAAAATTAACTTGCTTCGTGAAATTAAATGTATTTTCATTAAAGGTGTTGGAAAAAGGTTTATAAGGGTAGTAGTTGGAAACTTTTGAAAAGGATCATAGTTATTATGCAACTCACTCGTTTGAAGCCTATAAATTTATATTGAAAGGTAAAGGAAAGTTGGAACACTAACTCCATGTTGCTTTGTTAAATTAAATTTTACTGGAGTTGGTAACTTTTTTTCCCAAGACAGGATTTCAACATTACACTGTAAGTACATGTTATACTTTGAATAGAGTTTTAAGATAGATCTTTTTTCTATTTTGGTGGCTTCTAAAGTATTAAAAGGTCAATAATATGATTGAAGTGGCTTGATAACTTGTTCTGTAAAAGATTAAATATAGTGGTCAAATATTTTGTATAGAATTTAAGCTGATTAACTTTGAAAGTCTTGTTTTAGGAATGGAGTAATTTTATTATTAAATTACATTTTGAAAATTGCTGATATATTGTATATAACATACAATATTTAGTGGTGAGATTAAAAAAAACAAACAGTTTTCTGATGCTTTTATGTTATCTCCAGTGAGGGTGCAGTACCAGAAAACAACCATGGAGTGGAAAATGCTTCCCATTTTCTT